CGCGTACTGACCAGAGTGCGTTGCTGCTTGCGAGTCAACTGCTCCTTTTCGGCACTCTCTTCAAACGAACTGAGCGCATCATGTGCCTTCTTCACACCATAACTCTTTATCACTTCGGGTGTCACATAACGAGTCTTCTGAATCAACAAAAACATCGCAGTCTTACATACACCTTGATTACCTGGATTGGCCAGGCTATCAAACGTTTATAACGTTACTGACTCGCGTTTCCGTGCGCATTGCTTTGGCCTCAATTTACGCCACCCTGCTGGCTAGGTGAGCAGGCCAACCGAATACAACCGAGTAAATAATTAGTCTCCGTGAATACTTTGCATAAACAAACGCAGTCAAATACCAATTCAATAAATAATCATTACTCTAATAAAATAAATATTCCGCCGATCGCTCACTGCGACTGACGAAACAACCACTCGATGTCCAAGTAATAATTAATAAAGAAGAAGAAGGCTGCCTTAAATACCAACCAATCCAATACGAATAAAGTCAATAAGTGGAATGTTTCGCCCTAAAATGAATCAAAACAAAACTGACCTGTACTTGAACGTGCTCGAAACGCGGTAGTGCAATCGATAACGCGCACCGCAAATTGCCTTCAGCCGCTTTCTTCTCTCTTCTCAACTCAACCAAATCTTCACTCACACTCTCTTTCTCACGATCTCTTAAAACAACGAATAAAATGATCCTTCATCACCAAACAACATAAAATTCTTTAATTCAACCAGCGAACGATCGATTTGATTGCAACGAAATTCACCAATGAATTTATCACTTGAGTGATATTCAATTTCTATCTTCCCATATTCCAAACAATGAATCCGAAACAATTACTTATTATTGCTATTCTCATAACCAATTCCGTCCCCAGACTCTCTCATAAAACAGAAATCATATGAAATGACAGTAGATTGACTTCATTGAGGCTATCATCATTCCTGCCCAAAGAACACAACAAGACCTTTAAAACAGTCAACAGGCCATCTATGAGCTGTTCAATTCATGACTGCAGAAATTCATCAACAATTTGAGCCATAAAACAAAATTCATCTCCACACAAAATTTCAGCCATAAAACAAATCCGAAGAGATGATATCATAAGCGCGGCAACATACCGGCTATCGAGCAATAAATCAGCTTCTCGCGCTGTTTTTTCGAACCAATTTTCTCGTGAAACAATCTGCAATTTCAATTCTATCAATAAATGCTCTTATTAATAAACTGCACCAACGAAATACTCTTTAATTCAGCGATCTTATTCGCTTTTCCCCGTTTCAATGCACTTTATTCAAATCAACTCCGAATAATTGGTTTTTCAAGAAGTGACAAAATGAACGAATTTTCACAACAGATTAACATCAATGGATGAGGCGATGAAACCTTTTTAATGCGATGTTCACACGATTCAACATCACTGGCATATTTGATGCGTTCTTGGAGTGCGTTGAACAGCTCAACTGAATCTATCGGATATAACGGAAGTTCTTGCTCTAAAATTCATCATTAATAAAAACACTGGTTGACAGGAAAAACTGAAGGAGATTAGGAAGACCCATGAAATTAAAAAATATTCGATTTCATAAAAATGGGTAGAAATTAGATCGGGAATTAGGAAATAAACTGAAATTCAGAAGAGATGAATTATGAAGAACGTAGCAGGAAGATGAGATTTTCAAAATTATTGCTCCAAGATACAAATCCATCTATTCAGAAATCTGAATGATAACCTCCAAATACCAAAATAATATGAACTGAAAATTCGATGATTTTAAAAGAGCTAATAACCTCTATTCAAATTTCTGCAAATGCGACGATAAAATTGGGTGTCTTGCAGATCAACCATCAGCACGGTTATGCCTCGATTGAGCGCACGAGCTGTACGACCGGAACGATGTACATATAACTGAATGGGAGGCAATGAGGTCGAAAAAATTTTGATAATACTATAACAAAATGTATGGAATTTTGATGCAACCTTTCCTTTTCGAGAGAGAAATATTTATCTTTAATACGGAATTGACAAAAAACCCGAGTCATCCATTTTCATGAGTAACGAATCAAAAGAGACAACGAAAAAAAGCAAAAAAGAATGACAAAAAAGAAACTGAAAGACGAACCTCGGCTGTTTTCGGGACTTGGTAGTGGATGACATGTTCAACTCCGCATATATCCAGTCCACGTGCAGCCACATCGGTTGCCAAAAGAATCGAATTCGGTACTTCTGAAAATTCGAGTGCTCTCTTCAGATAGGTTGCTCGAAAATACATATTACACAATCAAATCAAGAAAAATTCAATCCTGAACGGAACATATATCGTCAGAAATGCAAAACACTTAATAAATGATGCGGGCTGAAAGCTCCACAGAAATATTCATTAATTCAATGAAATTATGCACATGTATATGAGTACATAACACCAGTCTATGACAAACCTGCAAATTTCTCTAAATTTTTGAGACGTTGTTTCTGGATCATTTTGGCGTGTAACATCATAGGCGCTGGTTTAAATTGGAGCTGAAATCCAAAACGATCAACTGCTTGAAAAGTAAACATTTTATCCTAAGATCAAGAGTCACATAAACAAATCAACCAAAATCAAACAAAACGAACAAATCTAAATCTTTTCCCGATTTAATTTTGCGTCAGTGAATTGAACTGACTCAATGGCAATCAACATCAAACATTTCAATTGTCACCAGTGACACTAGATAGTTTCCTACTGTCGAAATTGCCTTCTCACTAACAAAATGTATAATAAGTACGTCATTAGCAACATTTACCAGATTTATTCTCAGTGCTATACGAATAACCTTCAAAACATTTACATATTGCAAAAAGTAGATGAAAAGCACAAATTCTACTGCTAATGAAAATCACTGAAATCCGTGTAATAACCTTTGTTAGAATACCGAAGAATCTTCTGGATGCATCCACGGAATTCATGAAAATAAGCGTTCGGCCGGGATAGCGCGTAAGCAAATATACAACACTTGTATCCTGAATGTCTTGCAATCAAAATATGGTTACACTCGAATTTAAAGGAGAATATTCGACACTATCTGATCGGTAATAATCACACTGTGTAACATTTTGTGTTTTTTCCAATGCAATAACTGAACTGATCTTTTAATGACCTGTTCAAGTTATTCACTAAAGTGACAGAAATTAAAAAAAAACGAAAAGCCAACGAACTAGAAATGAAAAATGCTTCGATTAGTTCATCGAAACAAAAAAATCGGATAAAAATAGAAATGACAAACTTTTTCCAAGAGATTCGAACAATTCATTCTTGTTTCAACAAGCGATTCGGCCGTTCCGAATGATCTTGTAATGTCAAAAACCCTCCTTTCTTTACGCAATCCAACAATTTCAATTAAGTGATCTTCAAATTACAAATTCTTTTTACCTGATAACTTACTGCGAAAACCATGCACAGCTTACGAAAAATCTTTTAATAAGGTGATTCGATTTTAACGATGAATCTTTTTTTCAAACAAACTTTCATAAAAGACTCAAAAAAAAANAAAAAAAAACGATTCAATAGGACAAATAATTGATGAAGATGAAAAAAATTCAGTGCTGAACGTACCGTAAATAAATAAAAAAGAACAGACAGTGAAAATTAGCAATCGGACAAATAACGAATGAAATTTTAAACAATTCTTTGACGATAACTTCCAAAAACGAAACAAAAAATAACCGATTTTCTCTTGTGTTGTTATCTGATGTGCGTCAATTCGTTTCGGTGCAGGATGCACAAAGGTAAGTGTCGCTGAGAATACTAACGTTTGTCGTTTCGCATTCCCATTACTGCAATTCACAATACTTAAAAGATTTGCAACAGTTAACAATTAACTGTAACACTTGCAAATGACAATCACTGAGACCAAAGTAAGAAAATGAACTTTTATCTAACATGAAAATTTATCGTGAAGAAATAAATCCGAAACGTTGATAATGAGAAATGCGATGAGCAATTAAGCGAGTCACACAAAATGTAATCACCTCTTAATGCTGTCCAAAATGAATTGCAATTCCTCGAAATGTCCCTTCTCAATCATTCGATCAGTTTCATCAATCACCAAACACGACAAATGTTGCCAGTCACCTAAATAATTACCGCTGCCAGCACCGTCCGATGCCGATAACAACGCCCAGAAACGACCCGGTGTCGCGACAATTATTTCGGGACGATATTTCAAAATACGTTCTTGTTTTTGTTGGGACAATCCACCGACTATCGATGTTACCTTCAAAATTTTCAACTTCACTTCATTTATACCAAAAATAAATTCATCACAGAAATATACCATGGTTAGAAATATTATTCGCTAATAACTTGATCCGTTCATTCTTGAACGGTGAACAGCAATGAGTTTAATTGATCAACTGAAATAAGAAACAATAAAAATTCGATAAAACTAGTACTCAACGAATTTTCAGTGTTTCATTCGATACAATCGATTTGAAAGCTCTTAAATACAGCGAATAATCTCACAATCAGAGAAACAAAAGAAGTTCGAAAATGCAAAATGAAAAGAAATAAAATGAACACCTTAAATTTGGTGTATTTAATGAGCGCAACAATATGCTTTCTGATCTGTATGACAAGTTCACGCGTTGGAGCAAGAATCAGTGCACGTAAGTGACGTTCACTGATTGGCTTCTCACCACCTTCATTTCCCTCTTTCTTGTCCTCGTCCAATAACCTCATTATTAAAGGTATTACGTACGCTAAGGTTTTACCACTACCCTGAACAATAACTGTTCCTTTATTACGCATTACACAGAAACGACCTCAACGAGTGCTTATTTGAAATTCAGTTCAATTAAAGGAAAATTTCTGAAATATTCACTTTCAAAGAACACAATTATTTTACTCAAACTAAGAAAGCTAATCAGAAACTTATTCGAGGATTACTTATTGTTAGGAACAAGGCAATGCAAATCGAAAGTTTCCAATTTTTGAAAATTTGAGTATAACAAAATAAAGTGGTTTCCAGTAAACGTACAGTTTCAGCAGCTCCAATTATGTCAAGTTTATCACGGATTGCACTCGGAAATACTAACTTCTGGATTTCGGTTGGTTCCGTGAAACTGAAATCGGATTCTCGAATGTCTTTAATCGAAAGAATTGTTTTTTGAACGTAGTTTGGAATAATTTCGAATGCATGACGGAAAATCTCCCTTTATTATGTAGAATAACGTTCACACATGGCAAGGTACTTTACCGAAGGGATGGGAATTATGAATAAATTGAAATTTCCAAACGAGAACGATACTTCCCATGAGGTTGGCTGTCAAAAATAAACAAAAAGAACAGTGTAAAGTGTGAAATAGACGAAACGAACCCGAGATCATTGAGTGCTTTCATAATTTCATCTGACAATCCAAATTCTTCCCAGGCAGATAGGTCAACCCGTTCAACTGGAGTTGTCACCGCTAAATCTGTACTCTCGAGATCTGATGCTTGGCTTGGCTCATCTGAAATGTTTGGTGTTTCTCTCAGACTGATAATGAGTTAAAAATAGACTACAAAAGAACAATCTCATTTATTCAATTTAAAATCACCTAATGAGACTGATTTAAAAAACACTCTTTCCATCCAAATCAATCAAAATAAAACAGTTTTCAACAAACGTAAAGTTTCAGCAGCTCCAATTATGTCAAGTTTATCACGAATTGCACTCGGAAATACCGATTTTTATTGTTTCAAGTCGCGACATGAACTCGCACCGCAATCACTCTCATAAGACATACAGTTAGGAAATAACTCTCCAAACAATACACATCATACTATTCATAGTTTATTAAATTGCATACGGAATTTTTTGAGACTTAAAAAAAAACTGAAAAAAAATTCACCTTCGATACGACAATTCTCAATTGGTGGTTGAGTATTTTTGCGCATTTTCTTTTTATTGCCATCCGATTGAGCAGAAGTAATGCCATCAGAAAGTTGCACTTCATTCTTCTTTGATTTGATCCGTGTTTTACCTGCTCTTGATATGAGACCTTTCTTCTTCTTCTTCACATTCTTTTTCAATGAACCTGCTTCAACATTATCTAAAAATAAGGAAACGAAATGACTGGATAATTTACAGCTGATATGAATGGTTGAGTGATGAAGGATCGCAAAATATTCCAAAAACATTCCAAACGTTCTCTGCAATCCTAATTAAAAACATCACATATATACAAATAAAAAATGAAAAATCATCGCAAAATCGATATTGCAAGATTAAAAGCAACTAAAAAATTCTTATCAATGAAAAATAAAATGAAACCTAAGATTTGAATACTATCAGGGTGACTGTTCGCATTAGCACTGACCACGTTCGTTCCACTTTCACTGTCAATCTCTTCAACCTCTTCAGGCGAAACGGCTGTCTCTTCGTTCTGCTATGGATGAATCAGAATGACTTTCGAAACGAAAATTTTGGATGAATAAAAGCAGATGAGAACTAGAAAATTGAACAAAGACTATCACATCTACTATTGCAACATAAACTTTCACCAACTGTACGACTAACCTTAAACCAAGGGCTCTTTTTCGGCGAAACCTTCGATGTAAGATGAGTCGTACATTAATCAGCTCAATGTTGTCGTACGAAATTAAACATTCAAAAAAAAAACTTATGAGGTATAATCGTGAACGAATTTTCTAAGGGGTATGAGTTCAAGAATTATGACAAATCAAAAAGCAAAAATAGACACACTTTAACATCCGCTGATCTATTTTTTGACTTTGTTTTCCTTTTGTTTTTTATTCTGTTGACATCAGTAGTAATTTCAGCCCTTTTGCCACTATCGTTTCCCTTCCTTGTGGCCTGGCTGTGCTTTCGTTTTCGCCATTTATTATTCTGCAAGAAAACTGGAGAATAAAGCTGATGAGAAGATTCATCGAATGGAATGGAACATTTGATGCTCAATTTAAATTTTAAAAAATTCCATCTCTTCACTTTGTAACCTCCGTTACAATTTATTCTGCACTAATGATTATATGGAAATCGTCAATTCAGCCCGAATGCTCTTATGAGTGAAGTATGAAATAATTTCTTTGCTCATGTTTCCGCAAGGAAGACCATGAATAATTGCTTATAAACAATACTTAATGAATATTTAGACCGATGAACCTGGTAAAGTCAATGAGGCAACATTCATTATCTCAATATCAGTGCGCTGTAATGATAAGATGGAGACAACGATAACAAAAGGATTGATAAAAACCTCCAAAGGTTCATTGTTTTTGTTGAGTAATTGATCAGCTTCCGACGGAATGAGTTCTTCGAACGTTGACAGGAAAGTCAGGTTCGTATCACATGCAAATTCCCCAGGAACCTCGATCGATTTCCATTGATTACCAGCCGATACAATTTTTGGCATCACCGCTTGATGTAAACCCTGAAAAACTGAAGAAAATGACTGCTAAAAAAGCCCCACTAAACACTAAAATTGGAAGTTTCGCTGGTATCATCTCTAAAATCAAGAGCGAGCAACCAGTTTGCTTAAATTTTATTATAGGAGTGCGTGAAGTGAGTGTAAAATCGCTTGTTCAGGAAATTGAGGTGATTATGAATGACCTTCTCCCTTCGAGCCTCTCTACAATCAACTTATTCAAATAATCCATACCTAAGGATCACGCTATCACAACGCCCCCTCGAACGAGAGAAGATTCCGAGCAGAGGAGCTCCATGGGAAAAGAATGGTCCACTGGGAAGACGTCAAGATCCGTAACGAAGAGATTGTTCTATAGGAAAACGGACTAGCGGTGAGAGGGGTTCCCGCAATAGAATGGGGTCATCGGAGCTGAAGAGCAGACCTCGGAAAGGAAATGGTACACTCAGTTACAGTCTGACAGTTGTGAATTAGTGATGTCTCTATCCCAGTTAAACTACTTGTCGGTCAGATTCCAACCGACGTGAAATTCCGCTCAGATGCCACTTCAAATCTCATTTTAACTATAAAAGTATTTGGTGAGGGAAGGATGAAGTGGAGGTGAGGAAAGTGGATTGACAATGAGATAAATGAGTAATCGATAAAATGTTGTTTGACAGAGCGATGTTCTGTACCATTTCATATCAAGATTGCTCTCTTGGACAGTAACCAGGCATTTCAAAAGAGTCCGTTTTTCCGGTCAATGGCCACCAACCGAAACCGAAAGCACTCGATTGGTTGGTGGCCTCAAAAAACTGAATTTCGATGGCTACTGAATCCTAACACTTATCTGGTCACTCTTTCAATATGTAAGCCTCAGATACATCAACAAAGGTTCTTCTTGTGCTTCGAACGCAAGGCTTATCTTCTGGTAGCACAAGTTTCTTCTTAGACTTTATCTCCTTCTAATTGACATCAGTATATGATTTCCCTCATGAACCTCATGAAGTCTCCTTATCGTCACCAATAAACGAACGCTTCTGACATCCACACCACAAGCAACAGAACCGCCCTGTCATCGGTCATTCATTGTTTATTATCCCAGAATCACCACTGGATATATCGCAGACTGCTCAGTTTTATCTATGTATTACTTTATTCTGAATACCAAATTGTTATTGTTGCACTGAAATATTAGTTTCAGAATCAATCATAAAATCGGATTCCCTTTTCTACCAATTACCTGCATTTGTTTCTCCCAGAGAAAATGTTGCTAACCAATGAAGTCATACCAACAATCAGGTTGAGACTGGGCACGGCTTTGAAGTGTGGGCGTGTGCAAACAATGAGAAATTTTTGACGAAAACGATAAAATATTTCTTGATAACGCAGTGTTGCACTATCCATCCATCTGGGTTTGAATCAGAGCCTCCGCTGAACCAGCTGAGCTCAATTCTAAATCTAATATTTACTCAAAAGGCAGGTAGGCAAATAATATCCCTTGAAGAGGATGAATATCTCTTCCTCTGATGTTGTATCTAGCAAAAAGCGTAAGTAATTTTTTAAAAATGTATTAGTCGTTATAATCCAGCTTTGTGTTGTAAACAGTTTCCGGTATATACTAGTATCTCTTTCATATGAATTGTGATACTCAAGTCTCGCGCATTTCTGTAAGTAGCATTATTTTTTCTATATGATAGCAGTACCTCCGGGGTTAAATGACTACGGTAACCAGCCACGCCCATAATGAGGGCAACCAACGGAAGCAATACCTCCGGGGTTTAATGACCACAGTAATTAGCCGAGCCCACAAATTATGAGGGTTAGTCATGCCCGCACCCAACGAAAACGTTATGAATCGAGTAACATATCAATACTCTCAGCTTTTCAAACGAGAATCGAAAAGAAAATTTTCTGTCGAAATGTGAAAGTATTTAGTTTGAAATGCATTAGTAAATTTGAAACGATGATATGGAATCTTAAGATGGACATTTTTTTCTTTACGTTATTAACAAATATGGTGGTTTCAAATGCACAATTATTTGTTATGGCAGACTCTGACATACCGTATTGATTGTTGGTTGACCGATGTCCATTCGCCTTCTACATTCACCATCCACTGGATGCATTCATCCATGCGGTCGTAGACCTGAAATGATCTGTATAAAAATTTATAGTGAACTTTACGTAGACATTGAAATGAACTAGATTTTATTACCTCACTTTGTTGGATTTTTATTTTGTCACTTCCGTTCTGATTTCTTGAACTGTGTTTGCTCGGTTCATCGGTA